TTTTAAATAAAACGTACGTTTTCTAACCAATTGCTGTCCGTTCGTCTACCAACTCGTTTTGGATTACACAGACGCTACACACTGCATTTGTAAAATCAAATTTTTAATTTTATTTTTCAAATGATAGAATAACAACTTTTTATTCAAACTTTCATATTTTCTATTAAAGCTTTCTTTAAAAACATTCATGGATGAGAAGCATTTTTTCCCTGTTAAAAATAAATATATGGCTTTCTGTCTTTTAATTTTGAGGTTTCTGTCAGCTTCAATCTTTTTTTTTTAAAAACTTTTTCTGAAGAATTAACTCTTGGATTTCTTAATTGCATTCTTGGATCATGTCATTTCATACATTGCTAAGGTATAAATCTTTATTCATTATTATTTTGAGACATTATTCTTTTAATTTTACATTCTTAATAATAAAATGTTTAGACTTCCTATAAATCAAAAGTTGACATATCTGGAGAACTAAAATTTATGAAGACTTTTATATTTACATGAAAAATCAGAGAATGTCAGGAAATCTAGGGAATGCTTGAAACTTTCACACATGAATTTTCAATGAACACTGGAAATTTCATTAAATGGTATTTAAATAATCTTCAGTCTATTTGTTTATCTTTATTTTTTGGACAAAATGATAACTTAAATAATGTAGTAATCAGTTAAAGCTGAATGATCTTATCTTCAAATATTTCTTATATCAAATTATCTTACAATAGGACATCAAATTTGTGTAAAAAGTTTTATTAAATTGTAAGTTTTCACATAGAATATTTTATAATAAAACATTCATTAGGTCAAATACAATCCAAATTGACTTCTAAAAGTTTAATAGAAACAAGTAGAATTTATTGAAAATAAATATCATAATAATTTTATTTCTTCTCTAGTAAATAGGTTTTTGATATTGTATATTAATTGATGGTATGAATTATTTCTCATATTTCATAAGTAATTATTTCTTAATATATTAGTTTTGTTAATATAATAATGTTACTTTACATCAAATTTTTATGTCAACTTATATTTATCTAGTATTATTGAAATTAAATAAAAAAATTATCAGTTTTTTATTAAAAGAATGTTTATGCAACTTCAACTATTTAAGTGTAAAAGGCATTGCATAATACTATAAAGATTTTCATCTAGTAATTTTCTCTTCAAGTTTTCATTTAAGAAATACAGTGGGTGATCGGTTAGCGAACACAGTCTTGGAACAGATTATATTCATTATCCGAATTGTTCGTTAACCCATTATCAATTTACCATAGATTTTTATGGGAATTTGATTCTGTTCTGGAGATCACAAATATAAAAAAATTATATACTTTCTTACTACGTTTGTGTATTTTTATTATTATATATAAATAGTGTTGCATTTTTATTAGTCATATTTTTTATGTTTGTGGGGCATTAAAGAATCTGTCCAATATCAATTGCTTTTCTCTCTCTTCTTCAGGATTTTTTAGAAATAATAGCATTGTCGTCATAACATCCCTAATTATGCTCAACCTGGTTTAGATGCTATTCTAAGGCCGTTGTTCTGACATTCTCCCATTTCTTCAAAAGATCTTTAATAACAGATGTCAGCATTAATCCTTTTTTTTCAGAAGAAAATATACCTCGCCGAGTTTCTTGGTGTTCTGTCATTAGATCAGTTTCAAATTCCATTATGAGCTCTTCAATGCTCTTCATTTCTCAGATATGATTTTTGTTACTCCTTTAGCTGCTTGAGTCTTCTTGATTATACTGTATCTTTTTTAGATAAGATTGAACTGTGGCCTACTGTAGACCTGTTCGAGCCATACTACCCAGCAACAACAGACATCTGCCTACTCTCTATCTTTACTATTATACTCTCACCTTTCGAAAATAAAAACCGATGCAGAACTTAACAAGTGCTCACCTGACAGTCTCAGAAATACTATAAAAAATTGTTTCTGTCAAAAAAATAAAAAGCTGGAATTACAAGGGCGAGTTTAAAAGTTCAGAGGAATACTATCTGATCAGTATATATCAGGTTGAAAATTGATGTCAACATCTCCTGCACTCCAAAAAGTTTCAAATTGTTGCCTGAAGACAAGGAAAGACCAATTGGTATTCATTATTTTACGTTGCTTCTTCTTGTGTTTGTTCTGTGAGGTGTTCTTTGTCCGAACATAACGAATACTCTGACGATTTTTATCCGATTTGTTCGTAGTCCGAACTGTTCATTAACTGATCACCCACAGTACAGTGATATACTTGTACTCTTGTTTGAAATGTTTTTTTTGTAAATTATCATTAAAAATAATGATCCTTTATTATTATTCAATGATAGGCATTGATTATAAAAGTATAAACTTTTTCAGATCTGTTGCTTAGCTTTCATTACTGAAATAATAAAGAAAAAAATAAATCATTCCACAAAAAATATCTAATTAAAAAACAAGGAATTATTTATTGTGATATCATCACAATGCCAGGCTGCAATTTTTAATCATATTTTTAATTTATTTAACTTAAAATATATACTCTCCATCTTAAATTAGTAGTGGCTTGCCCCCGTATATCATACTTTTCCTTTAACAATAGTGTCATGCTGGTCATCTATCTAACACCTTTCGAGAGAAAATTTTTGGATTGAAATAACGTGACTTCTGGTTTGCATCAGAAGTTCTTATATAGTCAGTCGAGGCCTCCTGCCCGTAAGGTTTCCCTATCTGGTCTCATCTTTCATCTATATAACTCTGTTCTCAAGATTAAGGAAAGGTGGATGGACAACAGTGAGGATTTATAGGACTGCGATTTTACCAAAAAATTCTCAAACTGAAAATTTATTTTAAAAATTTTCCAAACAATACAATAAATAAATGTCTTCATCTTGTCTTTTTTCACACCTCAGGAAATAAGTCTTACAGCAGAGTCAACCTTTAATTTTGTGGATTAAGATTGGACAATGCATTTTATATAAAAATATTGTTTGAAGACTGGTAAACTGAGAAAATTCCAAGAAAACTAATTCCTAGCAAATTTTGTAATTGAATCAAAACTTTAAAATTTGTAAATTTATATATAAAGTAGTAAATCTGTAAATAATAATATAATTATTAAGCTTTAAAAATTAAAGATTATTGATATTCAAGCTTCAGAAATTTTTTTCTGAGCTATGCTAAAAATAATTTTTAATTATGTGTATAAATGTCAATTATTGTTATAAGTATATTTGAGGATAAAAATTCAATATATTATTAAAGTTAAATTTTTAAGCATTTTATTTCTTAATTTACTGAATGTAATTAATTACTTTTATAGATTAGTCACTTTTTCATGTATATATTTTCTTGGTGGTATGGCATATTTGAAAATTGTCAGGGGAGCATCAGGATTTGAAATGATTCCAAATTATGAATTTTGGTTAGATTTTCCATTACTAGTTCGGGTAAGTTGTCTTATTAGTATCAGAGAAAATTGTACTTTAAGATATTTTAGAAAACTAAATAAATAATATATTATTATATATATTCTATTTCTGTAAATTTAATAACTTAATATAAACTTAATAAAATTTTTAACTCTTTCCTATGGTAAATTTTCATTGAATATAAATAATTGTCAATTTTTAACATGAAATACTGAAATGAAATGTCAGTTATAGTATTTTTTTTGGAGATCAATATCTATTAGCATTCTTATCATAATATGCATTAATTAAATTTATTTTTTAATCATGTATAAGTTTCTTCATTTTTCTATTAATCACAAATATCTGACGAGTGTATAACCGTCGTCTTCACCTGAAGACGACGGTTATACACTCGTCAAAAGTGCTTGTGTTAATACTAAAGGAACTTTATTAATGCTGAACTCAGTGAATTTGTGTCCAGAAACTATATCTGTATATGATTTAATATAATGTATAACACTCATATAATGCAGTAGACGTGATTTTTATAATGTGGAACCTATTTGCATTCCAGTATGACATCATTTTGCAATATATTCAAAGCATTTCATGTGCAAGGATGTCTCGTATAGATTTTTCTACATCTACAGAGATCCATCAATAACATATTTATTAGATAATATATATAATATCAATTCAATATTTAACATTGTTACTTTAAGTGTAATAAATTTAAAGTACTGAATTTTTATTTTTATATATTTTTAGGATGGTGTGATATTTGTCTTGAGTGGTTGTAGAGCTGAAACAACTTATGAAAGAATCTAGCAAAACATTACTTGAAAAGAAACCATGTGCCTATATACATATGTATTTTCTAGTTGGATCCAATCTCGCGTCTCAGGATGAATGATTTACATAGACTTGTACATAATGAATGAATGAAGATACTAGCATAAATGTTCCCAATATTTGAAAATTAACTATAAATCAGTTGGAATTTTTTGTGAACATTCAATGATTTTTTTTTTTTTTTAATAGTAATTTGCTATGCACGGATCAGATCTGTTTTAAGGAATATCATTGTCCAATGTGGAACCAACTTTCAGATTCAAAAAGTTTGCTTTGATGATTTTTTCAACCAAAAACAAAACAAAGTTTTGTAAGACACTTTGATAAAAAGCTCTCATTTTTATTATCAATGCTAAAATGGTAAGGTAACTTTTTACTGTGATATTGCTTATTGCTTTCATTAACTACGTTATTACTAAAAATGTATAGTCTTTGTTATTGATATTCGGATATATTTTAAAATATTTGTTTTCTGTAAATTTTTTAAAATAATTAATCTTAGCAATATCAGAAGTTCCAGTAAACACTGAATACTGTTTCCATATATCACAATAATAATTTAGGGAAGTCATTTCAAAAAATCTCAACATATCTTTTAAAGTTCTTACGAATTTTGGACACATTAAAATTTTCGTAACCTACTACCTACCTTTTATTCTTTAAGATGTCTACTCCCAACTTTGTTATCAATCATTGTTTAAATTCCATTGGACCTGATGGTATTGCTATATTTTAATATTTATTTATAGAAATATATGAATGTTTACGGAAAAGCATTGCATTTATTTTTATTTTGGTAACTCAATATTGTCTTTAAAAAAATTAAAAGATTTATGAGACAGTATTTGATGTTTCATTTCATAATTTTCTTAAGTTTTGAAAATCATTTTTAACTCTCTTATTAGATAAAGATATTTTAATACAATAATGTGCATTTGACTGTAAAATCTTAAGGAACTTGCAAAAAAAAAAAGGAAGGACAATTACAAATGATATTAGATGAATGCAAAAAGAAGTCTGGAAAATAGTTCAAACTGTTTTGGATAATCAGTCATCTGTTGATAGACTATGATCTAATTTAACAATCACTGAGCATTTAATTTGCACCCAAAATACAAATGGAGTCTCTGGATAAACAAGTTTTCACTGTATTTCATACTTTAATTTCATACATAAATTTTCATACATAAATTTATTAAATTCAGCAAGCAGGTAAAATATTATAAATTGTCAAAGAATTTTTAGCCAAAACATCTTGAAAATCGTCTGATTGTAAGGGGAAGTTTCACAAGTTCATTTTTTTTAAATCTATCTATCCACCTTTAAATAAAAATACAGTAGAGCGTTGTTTATCCGAAAATCAATTATCTGAAAGAATTCCAGTCGGCAAATTTAAATTTTCGCCAGTGCTGTGGCGCTGCAATCTTTGGCTATGTCTTGGGCTACTCAAATATTTTACGTTTTTGATACTAAATTAACTTCTGAAGTATAATTTTTTATTGTTTTTATATTTTTCAATATATTTATTTTGTTTGTANTAGAAAGCTAGATGTTAAAAATTCATTTGCATGTAAATAACTGATGATAAAAAAAATCAAATATTAAATTTTTACATTGATTGTACTTTTTTTTAATTATTATAGTGCAAATGAGTTCAACTGAATTAATCTGTAGAATTGTGTATTTTTGCCTACAGTTCTAAATGCTTGTCATATTTCTTCTAAGCTTATTCCTGAGAAAAGTTTGATTAAAACGAAAATGTAATCATTTAATTCTAAAATGAGTTAAAACTAACTCAAGAATTCCTATGTCATGTCATGGAAATTACCTTCATCTGTGGTAATCCATGTCACATGATTGCTGTCAGTGGAAAAAATTGGTTTCAAATATTATTTGGTATTGTGAAACTAAGTTCAGTAAATTAAATTAATGTATTAAATAAAACAAAAAAATATACTCTGATAAACCAGAATAGGCATCTCCAATAAGCAGTAGCATCACCTGTTACTACTGCAAATTTTGAACTACCCATTTATGCTAATTTGATAACATGCTATATGAGCAGGAGTAAATTGACAAGTCTTTTTTACTTGTGTTATTCAGGAACATTAAGTGAATCTGATTTGTAGACATATAGTCTGTTTTGCACCTACTGTATCTCCAAGGTAACTGCTACATTTGTTTCCCCTTGCAACTGTATCAAGCGTTTACAATGACTAAATGATATCTATGGGTGAAAACCTCGTGTTCCAGACCTTGGTGGTGATTCTATACAGCCGACAATCAAGCCACATTAAAATTGGCTATGATCTGAGATAACACTTGTGCATCTGTGGCCATCAATGTACACTGTGCAAAGGTCTGTAACCATGCTGGGCTTTGGCAATTATTGCCCTACTTGTAAATCCTGCTAATTGCTCATCACTGCATTGCAAAGCTGTCCTGGACCAGAAAACCGCACTGGACAGCTGAAGACAAATCCAGATTTCAGTTCAGACTATCTGATCAGACATCTGTTTCCCGCTCATGAACAGATGTGCAACTGGGAGTAAACCTTGGAAAGTAATGGATCTGTCAGGCTAGAGGGGGGGTCTAAGCAAAATGGTGGAATTGTGTTCTAGTGTGAGTTATCTATGGTTTGATAGTTAATGATCTTGTGGATCTATACTTAATTGGCCAGAAATAGAGTTAGTGAGAATGTCATGTATATTGGTAGTTTTCAAATGATGCTGAAGTAGATTAGTTTTTCCAAGCATCTTAATGAGTTATTGTTTTGAATGTATAGTCTTTCCAAAAAATTTACAGAAAATCCTAAATACTTTGAAATTCAAAAAAAAGGACAAAATAAAACTTGATAATTTGAAGATGTGATTGAATTAGCCAAAATTTATATATTTCTGTACAAATGCCATGTAACTGATGTAGATGTATTCTGTTTGTATATTTATATTATTAAAAATAGCAGTATATGTAATTTATTAAGCAAACTATAGGTATACAGCACTTGTCCCAGAATTTTCACTTCAAAATACAGCTACTTTGAAATTTGAATTAACCAGATTTCTTAGCATATAAAATCTCTCCCTGACCAGGACAAATAGTTTGAAATCTTGTTAGTTTGTAACTAACAAGATTTCAAACTATCAGAGTTTGAATTAATATGGATTTCCTGTAATTACTTTAAAAAAAGCCATGTATAGTTTGTTAACTGAATTCAATTATAATGTATGAAAAATGAAACTATGATTTTTGTGCATTAGAAAAATTCAGATTAATCAGATATATATTTCCTAAAATTATTTCCAACTTAGAATTTTTGAATCTAGTGAATAAAACTTTCATTCCAATTCAAAAAAATTTCCTATTACAAAATTCCAGCATTCCTTCTCACTGGAGAAACCTGGAAAATGAAATTGCACAGTCAAGCTAGAGATGGCATATTAAATGTGTATAATTAGTTTTTATAGAGAATTTGTTGATTATAAACAATAATCTAAAAACTTGTTTGCTTTTTATTATTATTAGAACGACAAACCACATGACATGATGACTAACCATCAAAGTTCTCTGAAACGAAATCATTACACAGCTAGAGAATAAAACTAATGAAAATTTATCTTTAATAGTTAGCAATGTTTTTTTAATTCACATATATTATAAAAATTAAGATTTAAAAAAGGTAACACTTTGCATACTAGTAAATTTTCAAAATTTTCTAAAACCTAAACTGTACAAAAGAAAAAAAAACTTTAAAACTACTTGCCATATCAGAAAATTGGTAGCTATGCCTAGGATTTCTGCTGAGTTAGATATGAAATGTAATTTTAAATATTTTCTACTCATTAACAGATAAACCACACATTTCCAGTTTTTGCTGAAATCATGAATTTCAACAAAAACAGTTTAATTTCCTATTGGAGAAAATACAATGATTAATATAAGTTTGTTATTAAACAAGAAATCCTATAAAGATAATGATTTATCAAAATACACACTTTCATATTTTATTATACAACAATTTAAATCGATAATACAAGGCAGAACAATTTAAAAATTGTTGATCATTCATTATTATACACTGTCATATGTGGTTGTTCTATTCATACAACACTGTACTGTAAATCTAGCACCATCCTAAAACAAAACATTAAAATTTTAATAAAAATGCATAAAATTCATTTTATAAAAATAATCTTTCATAACTTGATTAAGTATTTCAAAACTTATAGGCATTGCAATAACAGGAAAAGAATTATAAATTTTTTATCTTATTGCAATGATATGACATATATATATATATATAACAAGATTATATATATAAACACACACACACACAGTTTGCATTTAATCATTTTTCACCCAAATTCTAGGTTAATATTATAAGTCAAAATTAATTTCATTCAAAAACTATTGACCCATTTCCATATATTTATTTAACACTGCTTCTCCACCTTTAACTTAAAATGTATTGAAATAAAATGGTAGTCAATTGATATATGTCACTGTTTTATTCTTTGAGGAATTTCAAAACAGAAATTGATGCCTCTAAAAGAGCTAGGCTCCTTTTTGCCTGAAAAACATGTTTGAAAAATTCAATGATTTGGTTTCTTTCAGCTAAACTCAACTACCTGAAAAACAATACTAGATTATTTTGTCAAATTTTGGCAATCACCACAAATTAGAGGAGTTACTGTACTTCACTAATTCCTCTATTATGCCAAATTTTTAATATTTTGTCTATAATAAAAGTAACTTCTTCACTGAAGTTACTTTTAATAGAGAAAAGTACAGTTATATTTAAATTAGTTAATTACTCAACTAATTTGGATATTATAACTATATTTATATCCCATGATCAGTTCGAGTCTATCTCCAGACTAAGCTTTTCTTCCAGGATCCTATAAAATTTAAAATTTAGAAATAACTTTTATTTCTATCACTAGATGGCAGCATAACCATTTACCTCTAGATAATGATTTAAAAAATTTTATATCTAATCAAGCTATAACAAGATTAGTAAATTTCAGACAACTGCTGATTATTTTAACAAGCTGGTTCCATTTTAATTAAAGTTCTTATTAATTAAAGGATTTAATAAACAAACTGATTGTTCATACATACACACGCACACCTTTTTAATATCAAATTCAATCTACTTACAGTAACTAAAGCAGGAAACTCTCTCCAAAACTCTAAATTTGGTAACAGTTCTATTCCAGAAGCTCCAAGACAATATCCATTCCAGATTATACCACCAATTATGTATATTACCAGAAAAGTAAAAAGCCTATAATTAATACATACATTTATTAAATTTAATTATCATTATTTCTCATCCTAAAATAACAAAAACAGTCTTTTTTCAAATACTATAAAAATATTTGTTTAAAAACCATAATTTCAAGTAGATAATTAACAGCAGTGTATAATAACTCAGCACTAAACAATGCATTTTCAAACAGTTGCAAGTATGCCATTTGTAATGAACTAAAAACAGAATAATCATTTTTTCCTTTCATTTTCCTGAGTCATTATTATTTAAATAGATGAAATAGAAAAAATATTTGGAGATGAAATCACCCAAAATTCACTGTCTAAAATGCAAAAAGTCTGCATGAATGACACTATTGCTTCACTTTCCTATATTAATAATAAAATATAGCCATACCCAGTATCAAAATCCTGCTATCCAAAATGAGTTCTGAAGATCATGATAGCTAAATCAAATTCAAATATTATAAAAATTTCTTTGAAGCATATTTATGAAAAAATTTAAAAGTTGCTCTAGTAAAAGCGGGAAATAATCTGCTACTAAAATAATTAAAATAGATGCTGGAAACATTGAAAAATTGCTGAACTGCAAAACACAACATTGCAAATTTTCTATACAATTGTGAGAATCTGAACTGTAACTAAAATCAGTCATTATTCCGTCATATCTACGATAATTGTTGTCATCTACTACCTGAGAGCATAGATTTATATTTTCTCGACAGCAAAAGCAACACTTTTCCATGATCCCTTGACCTCCCAGCCATGCGTTAAGGATTTTAATATCATAATTAACAGCCAAAAGGAGGAGTCATCGCCAGTCCCTCTAGGATTAAAGTCAATTAAATTTTCCTGTATCAGTGCCAATCATACTCTATCAGATTTTCACGTTATCCTCAACTCTGCCTAGATGATCTTCCTTGATCCAGAACTTCCCCAATCCAGACCTGTCTGAAAGATCCAAGTCCAGACAACCTCAAGACCCTAGACATCAGTCCCCTCTCGAAATCCAAATTAAGAAGCCTCACCATCAATGCAGGTATTTGTAACAACCTGTAATTTCATGTGAATTCTCTCGTGCAAACATGTCCATGTCACTCTCATATCCAATGTTGAATTATCATGCTACCGTTAGCCTGTAGATCTAGTATGAAAAATAAATGGGTATTTGTTTTGTTAACCTAGTATCTGTCTTGCTTCCAACGCTGTCCTGATCACGCCATAATCACGGTATATGCGGCTGCTCACGTAACCTACTTTTTAAACCCAAACCAATTTCACTGCTGCAGCTTCAGTGTCGCAAGAGACAGTAGTGTCAATCCTGACGAGGCAACAAAAAAGTGCCGACCCTCCTGGTCACATGTTATGATGTTATTTAACAGTTCCTAATATGTGTTTGCTAACTAAAATAAAAATCAACAAAATATTCTTTTTATGCAGTAATATTTTATAAAATTGATACTCCTAAATCATGAAGAAAATTAGATAAAATACAAAATTTATAAATATAAGGAGGTATTAAAACACAGATGGACTAGAAAGAATTCTCTTATAATAAAGAATGGAAAAAACTTGAAATGCATCATATATAATTACATATGCCTATATAAAGTCTGTCCCAAAATTTCATGAAAAATCATTTTACCTAAACTTTTAAAATAGTGAACTTTCAGTTGATTTAATAACTGAAATAAGATCACAATATATCATACAAATTTAACAATTTAAAATGATATTTAAGCTTTTTATATAGTTATTATAATGCTTATAATAGAAATTTTGCTAAACATTGTTATCCCAAAAGTTTAGGTAAATTTTAAAAATTACATGGAAAAAATTATTTAATGGCTAATTATGCTTCCATTAATTTTAACAACAAACACATAAATTTGCATTGAACTCAAGAGTTTGTAACAACTCTAGTTTCAAGTTAAAAGTAAAATTGAGAATTCATGGTATAAGTTTTTTAACATTAGAAAACTGACTGTCTTGATAATGCTCTGAAGTCCAACATCTGTAAATAAATGCAAAATTGAAAATTCCATTGAATCCAAATGCTCCCAAACCATTAGAGCGCCATGACTCTTACAGCAAACAGTGTTCTTTTCTCAGATCATGTCAGTAATAATTCCAGCTATCAAAATCATCTATCTAAGTTCCACATTTTTCATCATTGAAGAGTCACACATTGTAAAGTAAGGTCAGAGTCACACATTGTTTACTGACTTCAACCACACTGGTGCAAACTTTCATGTATTATGTTCTTTAGAAACAACTTGAATAGTCAGTTGTTTTTCAAAAAATTCTTTATTCTAAAGCCTTACCTGATGTTAACCACTAAAGTAAAGTTCAGTTTAAAAAGTCAGTTCAATTAAATTTAACTTTGCTGGTATTTCATTGTGACATTTGTATTAAAAACTCTTGTTTCCAGCTATGGTTTATTTACATTCATAAATATATTAATGCAGTCCAGAGACAAATATCCTTTATTATTGGTTCACTCATTTTATATAAATAAAAATTTCTCTAAGAAGTTCTACATAAATAATTTCAATAAATTAAAAAAACTTACACTATTAACAAAATACTTCCAGTTGAAAGTTTAGATCCAGACTTTGGCTCAGGTGTAGGTTCAGGTGCATGACAACCACCTGCACAAGCACATTTTGTTGTTAAATTTAATGTCTAAAAATAAAAAAAAGTTAGTTATAAATCTAGTAAAATTAATCTTCTGTACATTCAAAAAAGAAAAAATTTATGATTCATCTATATTTATAGAAGTTTTTCATTCTACAAGAAATTTTTCAATAATTTTTAAAATGATTATTCTTTAGATAAAAGCTTCATCATCATATTAACAAATATTCAGTGAACAAATGAAAAGTTTAGTTACAAAAATTAGAAAAAACTTTGGCAACATGTGACAGACTTAAAATCACAAGGCAGCTTACCTGATTGAATCATTCACCACTCTCCAAAGTATAGTTTAACTATATTTTATTTATTTAAAAACAAGTATTTAAGATAACTGAATTTTCATAGTGGAAAGGTATATAAAATTAAACAATTTGTGCAAAAAAATGTTCTAGATCATCTGTGCCTACAAAGATGTAAATTTACACAGAGCTCTCAGATACTATCATTAAGTATGAAAGTGAAAAATAAGCAAGGAAAAAAAATTTTGTAAACAGTTATCTGAAAAGGCTTCTGGATATTTGGGTGCATTTAGAAGACTTTCACAAATCATTTTTTCTATCTTTTGAGATAAAAAAGACCTTTTATCTTATAGTTCTGTTAATATAGTTGTTTTTAATAAGGTTTAAAATTTATTTCAGAAGTTGTCTATGAGCTTGGTTTTTTATCTAGAATTTCAAAATATTATATTATTCTTTGATTACATAGTTTGAGAGTTGCATGTTTGTTTCTAATAACATAGTAGGACAGTAACAACCACAACTCACTCATGACATTGGAAATCAGACTTTGGTAGTGTCAAACACCTTGTTCTTGGCAGGATCACAATATTCTTATGACAAAAGAAGAGCCTTTTTTCTGTTCACACATTCAGTGTTAGGATATCCAATATGTACATAGAATGGCAGATGTCATGAGTCTGGATAAAAAAAGACTCATACAATATATCCAGGTGCAAAAGAAATGTTCCCAGCATTGCATAGCATATGATGTATTAGTACCACTAATGTGTACAGTAAATTAATTCATTTAATCAAAAGAAGGACAAGTTTAAATCATGCAGTAGTTCCAAAGCAATATGAATTTTTCCATCTCACAAAAACAAAGATAATGGAAGGGAATCATTTTAAGATTATTTAGCATAATGTACATAGAATCTCTGACAGTAAAGGATAAAACCAACATTACATATATGAATACAAAAACAGCTTTATTTTGTTAAATTATGGTGTGTTCAAAACAACCACCTTTAGTGGCAATATGCACAATCATACATTCTTAACATATGCACAATCTTACATTCCCCTCATTTATCTTTCCAGTTTGTAAACATCACAGCAGGACTGCAAGGTACAAATCATACATTGATGTCTTTAGGAAACACCATAGAAAAAAATTCCATTTGGCTCAAGTCTAGGAAACATGGTGGCCTTGAAATTGTATGCATTTTATCTATCGGATGTCTAAGCCACTGATGCACATCTATCCAGAAATGAGCAGATACCAAACATGCTACAGTTGCTCCAATGGCAAGTCAGCCAGCTACCATATTGTGTAGGATTTAAAGTAGCATTCACCAGTCAGAGTGCCATCAATGAATGACCAAGCTGCTACTCAGTCCAGATGGAAACACCAAATCTTTTAGTATAAATGTATCTGATGCTATAGTATGTGTGCATCATGGAGCATACTGGGTCAGTGGTGCATATTATGGTAGTAATATACTCCATTACAGGGGAAAAAGTGTCTTCAGTCCATACAACATGCTAAATTTATGCCAGATTGAACCACATCATGTGCCAATTGCAAGTAGCAGTTGAATTACTGCATGTCATGGCAACATAAAATTAACTTAATATATTTGAGATTGCTGCAGTTCATATTCTCTCACTGTTTCATATATTCATGTATGTGGATATGCATGGAAGTATGCCAAACTTTGATATTGTTAATACAAGGGTAAGTTTGACAGTGATTCCTGGTACTAACCTGTAGCAGAGGTTAGTATTAAGCAGCACATGTTCAGAATTGTTATATGAATAGCTCTTTGGATCAGCTGGAAAGCATTCATGGAATGCATGTACTGCTTGTGTATTTTGTCTCATTTCCTTTATAAAATACACTCATGAATACTATTGTGAAGTGACTAAGGGATTGTCACAGGCTCTACTAATTCACTGACTGCATGATATTTGCTCTCTTATAAAAAGGAGCATCAACATCATGTCATGATTTGTCAAGATTGAATTTTTAATTTGCATCTTATTCTTATGTTTGGAAAATTTAAGTATTGCCTTGGAAATACTGTGTGAGTTATACATGTCTTTTTTGAATGAATTAAATTTACTGTGAACATAACAGTGGAACTAACACAACATATGTATATATTTATGCAATGCTGGAAGGATCTCTTGTGCTTGGATAAAATGTTAAAGTGAACATTGTATATTAATAGCAAAAAGCCTTAAAATGCCAATGCTGTTAACATTTTTAATGTAGGGTATAGTGAAGTTTGATAGATAGTTAAAGTTGAAGTCTTGTGTTTGATCTTAAATTTTCTATTTAGAAATTATATTGAAGAAAAATACTTCTAAATACTTTCAGGAAGTTATATTATGAGAATGGTTCAACTAAGTCATCACCTCCAAATACCAACTTCCATCTTTTTGACAACAATGTTATGCCTGCAGAGTAGAAGTCTTTTGGCTGGTGTTGGCACACAGTTCTGCACATGGAGGTGATCAATGGACTTGGTTGAGATTTTCTGAATAACCCAGCTTGCAGATTTGATCTGTCACTGTAATTAATCATCACCTATTTGCCCTTTGAAGGAGACTGAGCCACTGCATGCTGCATTCTTACACCAGCCAAGAACTATTAGCCTATAACTGCTAAAAATGATAGAAGTGTCAGCATGTGGAGGAGAGTACATAGGAAGAAAAAACCAAAACTGGGATATATCATCATTATGATAAATAAAAAAAAGGGAAATAAATTCTCTCTTTACTGTCTCTTCTCTTCAAGAAGCTTAAGAAGTAAAAATGTAAAAAAATATCTCTGTTGTGGCTGTAAAAAACTATTGCGAAGCCAAATCATAAAGTAAAATATTCTATTTATTCCTACAGAAAACTAGAAACAAAAATATGAAGCAATACCACTTACATATTCATTTCCATTCTTTAGTACCTCCTCTACTTTTGCTTTTTCTGCTGTTTTATCACAATGCAGAAAAACTGTTAAAGATCTGTTTTAAAATATATCTTATTTTAAAACTTTAAAAACAAGTCCACATATATACTGTAAATTACTGTAAAATGTCAAAAACAAATTGGCAGTCTTACAATACAATTTTAAAATATTTTCAAAATTTAGATGCAAACTCATTTAGCTTTCAAAATTTATTTTCCAATTATTATATTAATAATAGTGGAACTAGTATAATTTGAACTTTTTATGAAGTTACTTAAATATAAATACAATGGAACCTTGCTTAATGAGCATAATTCGTTCCAGAATTACTCTTAATGTGAAACATTCATATGGAAAATAACTGTTTTTGCTTAACAAGTTATTGTAAAATACGATAATGCATTTCATGCCGGAAAAAAATACTCAAATATTTTGTGTGTAATGTTTATTCAAAGACAATTATACAATATACATTATTAAGGAGCGTGAAGCATTGTAATCTTTTTTCTTCTAGCATGGAATGAACTAACTGGAATGTGAATTCAATTTGCAGAAAAAAAATCAGATTATATGTCTGATAAACAGGCCAAACAACATGTCAAATTCTTGGGCTATGTAAAGGCTACAATTAAATATTAGAATTAATTAATTTGCCTAGAGATAGGCAGTTATGCTTCCATCTTGTATTAAATTTAATAATTATAAAATAATTAAATTTTTAATTTATACATTTGTAAAATTAATTTGGAATTGGTCATTAAATTTAGTACGAGATGCCGTGTTTATTATATAATGGGCTATGATTGTCAATGTTTATATGTAATATGTATGAACACGTTTGGAAAAATGTGTGATCATGAGCAACACTAAANATACATTTGTAAAATTAATTTGGAATTGGTCATTAAATTTAGTACGAGATGCCGTGTTTATTATATAATGGGCTATGATTGTCAATGTTTATATGTAATATGTATGAACACGTTTGGAAAAATGTGTGATCATGAGCAACACTAAACACAGACTAATGGAGCATGCACACAATCCAGAATTTCTCTCCTTGTCACTCGTTAGAGAATCAAATTTTTACAATATGTTTTGCTCATTATGCAAAATACTTGTTATGCGAGGTGCTCGTTAAGCAAGGTTCCAGTGTATAATCTTAGATCTTAAAACCAATATTTTAAGAAACATTATCTTTGTTTTGAAAACAGATTGCACAAAGACGACCCCAGCTTCTTAGTAGAAGCTAATGCCAGAGTGCTTCATCACAGATAAGATAGCCAGTAATGTTAAATTTAAACATGTCAAAAAACTAAGGTGTATTTTAATGTTTCGTAAAAACAGTTGTTTTTGTTTAATAGTATATTTTAATTAGTTTATACACAGTACAATCTGCTTACTATAATCATCTTGGGATTTTCCTATACCGATGATGATTGGCTGGTAATGACTATTAATGTAGCCTTATCAGTTTTATCAAATTACATACAAAGTAATTTGTCTAGAGAGAGGCAGTTAGGCTGCCATCTCCTGATAACTTTAATAAGCACATGATGGCAGCCTAACCATGTACCACTAGACAAATTACTTATTTAATTATTAAATTAGCCTTATAATTTGGTAGATCATCTACTTTTATAAGCTTAACTTGACTTGGGACATGAATTCTGATAACATTAGATGGCTGATTACAAATATCCATGGTTATAATGAGCAGATTCTATAAATATATATGTGTACATATGTATGATTATAAAATATTTAAATTTACTTTTCCTTTTCTTTGTAGGAAAGGTCTAAAGAGGTAAAAGTTGGTTTAACATTAGAAGATATAACTTCTTCTTGATATTTTTCATCATTTGATAGATGAAATATGCATGCCTGTAAAAAAAAAATTAATTAAAAATAATTAGTTTCTTAAAATTATTTTTTGTCAAAATATTTTAAATTAAACAGGAATGAATTACTAAATTTAAAAGAAAACCAATTCAACATCAAATACAATTATATACAGAAAAAGTAAATTTTTTTCTAATCTTCACTATAGTCTTTTTAGGAATAAAATTAAAAAATTATTTCAAAACCTGTTTTTTTTTCAAACTAAAGTATTAAAAAGACCAGTACTAAATTTTTTTTAAAACTTAAAAAATATTTTCAATATTTAATTTGTCAATAAACTTAAACTTATTACATCAGTATGAAGGACTAATATCTACTACAGAAATATGGCAATATCATTCAGTGAAATAAAAAAGAAAACTCAAACTGCTTGTTAAATCAAATTAACAGTGGCCTTATTTCTAACCACTATACACAGGTTATCCAAAACTTAACTTTGGATTATCTAGACCAGGGTTTCCCAAACTTTTTTCCATGGCCTGGTTATTCTTATACTTCTCATTTGTGACACACTAAAAAACTTATCGCCTATACTGAATTATAGGTAGAATATAACAAATTTGAATGTCCATACAGTTTTCATATATTATAATAAAGAAGCATTTACTTGTACACAAATATAAACAAAAACTAAAACAAAATATTTTATTAATGAAAAGTGTGATGCTGTTTCTTGTTAACTGGAAAATTCAGGTTTGGAGAAAAAGATAACTTTATTCTTAGATCTGGTTCAACTTCCAATCAGTTTTTATATTTATTTAAGAAAAGTAATGTTAAAAATACTGCTTCACACTTATAGGCCTTGACAAAGTATTAGAAATTTTATTGCTTTTCTTGTAAAACTAGGTATTCCTGACAATAAGACAATACCACTGATGGATTTTTGGTTGTTAAAGATGTCCAAGTGCTATATCACACAACAGTTCAATTACAGACTCAATATTTGAATCTGGCATTTCTGTCTCAGATTCTACATTCACTGTAAAAAGGGTTCCTTATCCATGCTTTGTTGCTGTTGATTGGAGAAAATATTCCTTCAGACTTGTCTTCAGTCCTAGTAGATGCTCCTTGATAGTAGCTAAAATCTCATCAGACATGGAACTCAGAATTACAAAAAGAGTAACATGTTAGCTTTGTAAAAGTTTTGTAATTTCCTTCCACATGATGCAACCATAAATTGAGTTTTTCCATTGTAGCTTTCACTCTCTTGCACTTTAAATAGTTACATTGCTACCTTGTAATGTTAGATTTCAATTATTAAAAAAAAAAGTCAGAAAGGTAGGCTATCTTGATTAACAAATTGACATGAAAACTGTCTTTGAATTCAAATATTACATCCCTAACCATTGGGCAATATTGTTTTAAGAAATTAAAAAACTTCTTCCTTCATTTCAATAAGTCTTAAAACATTTCCTCTTGATAACAAATCACACTTCACAACATAAAAGATGTTCATGTTCACTCCCCATTTATTTGCACAATGTAGAGAATATTCTTGAATTCAATGGATAAGATTATAAATTTTACAAACTTTACACTCTTGCATAGTTCTGGTTAAAAGCAATAGCATTTTTTTTATGGCAAATGCTTCTCTGTGAATGCAACAATGCAGCCATACATAGTCTGGTGCTACAGCTTTGATCCTCAGAAAGAGTCCAGTATGAATGCCTGCCATTGCACATGCTCCATCACTACTCAGTCCCACATTTTTCTTCCATTCAGTGCCATTTTTATTGATGTAATTATCTGTTAAATTAAACATCTTTTCAGCTGTTGTTCATGTAGTGAGATTTACAGGAGAAATTCTTCGTCAGATTTGTATTTTCAAAATCATATCTCACAAAACAAATCAGATAGTACAGACCTATCAAACAATGCCATTCATCAACTTACAAAAGAAAGAAAACTACATTAAGTGATCTATGACCGTTTCTTCAACGTTATCTGACATCCCCACGATTCTACACTTTTCTGTGTTATTTGATAGTGCCAGCATATTTACTTGATTCTGTTTTTTTAATCACATATTTGAGATGCTAATATTTTTATTGCTGGAGCAATTAATTTCTTGGCAATTGTGTGAAGATAACCAGTTTCAACAATTAATTTTGATTTTTATTAAGAAGCCATTACAAGATTCAGATTAAGTGCCCCAAGAAAAATTTGAAGAGAGTCTTTTTGCTAGCTATTAATTCCCTCTTTATTTATAAAGAAATCTATTGGCTTACTACTATATTCTGGATGTTTCAATTTCAAGTGCCATTTCAACTTTGAAGGTTTCATGGACTTGTTTGAAAGTGCCACATAACAAATAACGGTTTGTCATCAGCACCCTTAACAAAACAAAATTGTATATAATCTTCAGAATCTGCTGGATTCAGGAATCCTTTTTTGTAAGAGTAGTGGACTACTCATTATGCAGCCGTCTGTTAGTGCCACTCTCAGAACTTGTGCCTGGTTGCATGTCAGTTGTGTAGCAGTGCTAATCAACGAGTTTGTAACTGGCACATTGTTTGTTCATTGTTTAATTTTATGATTGATAAGTGGGTAATAAAACAATCAGCAAACTCAACAGAAAATATGCTCTCCCTTGACACTTAACTCAAACTGAACAAGGGAAATCAATGTGAGCATATAAAACAAGTCAGTAGACAGAGTGTATCCTTTGTCTCAATTAATTGAATTATATATTTCAATAGTTCTGATTCGATGTTATTTACTTGTAAATTCTTCAAGTCAAGCTTGGAGTTGTCCATTTGTATCATCTGGTCCTCAGACCAAGAATAGTCTATCTTGGTGTGCTGGGCGAGAGCCCTCATTCATGGATCATTTCCCTATGAGGGTGACCTTTTGTTTTTAGCCCTCTTTGACCCAGGTTAAAACAGGTGATTAGCTTAGCTCTGTTTCCTATTCTACATACTCATTCTGCTTTGTGAAAAAAAATGAAATACTTAGGTTTTCAAAACTTTTTAAGTGACCTGGCATTTTTCTTTCATGGTCTGGTGCTGGGTCACAACCCACCATTTGGGAAACATGGATCTAGATTGAAGTTCTTCAGTAGTTAAAGAATGCAATTCATCACAAAGTTGACATTGCACAGAAGTGGCAACTGGAAACTCCATGACAATGTGCCTACTCACACATCACAACCCAGTTCAGCAGTTTCTATTTAGCATTCCACACATTTAACAGCCATCTATTCCCCTAATTTAAGCCCACGACTTTTTTCTTTTCCATAAAATCAAACTCCAGTCAAACTGAAAAACACTTCAGGATATTCAGATCTGAAAGGAGCAAACAGCTGCCTAGCCATAAGACTTAAAAAATATGCTTCCAGAAGGGGTAAGTGTTGGGCTAAACATTAATTTGAAAGGAGACTTCTTTGAAGGATTTTAGGTTAGAAATTTATTATTTTAGAATGAATTTATTACATGAAAACTTACAAGATACTTTTGATCTTAATTGTCTTTGGGTAAAAAACAAAAAAAGTATTAAATGTTACCAAGATCTGAAAATCACATTAAACTGATTGTCAGCTATGCCAATGATATACTTATTACCTGGAGCTCTGATAATGATTTATGAAAACTGAATTGTTATTAACCAAATTAAAGTTATTACATTGTTTTCTTATCTGATCTATTTTGAATCAGATAAGACTAGACAGGTAGTTCTTTGCTTAACTACATGGACATATATTTAAAAAAAGTCACTAGAATAATATACTAAAACAAAAATCTATGAGGGTCATCCCAGAAGTACCCAACCTGACATAGATGGCGGTACTTGTTTGAAAAAAAACGACTGTGTTCGAAAGTATCAACTTTATAAAGCTTAAGTTTGAAGACGTTACGTTGTATAGTATATTTTTGGCAGCCATAAATAGTGAACAATCTCAGTGAATTTGTAAACATGGAAAAAATTTGTCATCGTTATGTGATACAATACTTTCATATCAAAACTTTCAGTCCAACCAATATTAAAGCTGAGCTAGATTCTACTCTGGGGGAGTCTGCTCCCTCATTTACAACAAAATATTGGGTGGCAGAGTTTAAACGAGGCCATACGAGCTGCCAAGACGATCATCATAGTAGTCGACCAAGTGAAGTGACCATGCCAGAAATGGTGGAAAAATCCACAAAATGGTATTGGATGACAGTCAACTCAAAGTGCAAGAGCTAGCAGACATGGTAGGAATTTCAAAAAGTGCTGTACATCACATTTTAACTGAAAATTTGGACATGAGAAAGCTGTGTGCAAGATGGGTGCTGCGTTTGCACACAATGAGACAAAATCAGCGTCGTGAGGATGTTTCAATCGAGTCTTTGGCAATGTTTCGCAGCAACAAAGCTGCGTTGTTGCGTCGATTCATAACCATGGATGAAACATGGGTCCATCACTTCACACCTGAGACAAAAGAACAGTCAAAACAATGGACTGAAAGGGGAGAATCAGCTCCAAAGAAGGCGAAAACAGTTCCATCTGCTGGCAAGGTCATGGCGTCAGTTTTTTGGGATGCACCCAGGAAAAACAATCAACGGCAAGTATTATGTGAACTTATTGCAGTGCTTGAGTGATGAAATCAAGAAAAAATGGCCACATTTGGCAAAAAAGAAAGTGTTGTTTCATCAAGACAACGCACCAGTTCACACATCAGTTATTGTGATGGCCAAAATCAATGAGTTAAGGTTCAAATTGCTTCCTCACGCACACTATTCGCCAGATTTAGCCCCCTTGGATTATTTTCTCTTTCCAAACTTAAAAAAATGGCTTGGTGATAAAAGATTTGCCAACAATGAAGAGGTGGAGTCTGCGGTTAATGGCTATTTTGAGAAGCCCGACAGTTCTCACTATAAACGGGATCGAAGCTATTGTACATTGCTGGAAAAAGTGTATTGAGCTAAAAGGAGACTATGTTGAAAAATAAAGATATGTTTTACCGAATTTTTTGTGTCTTCTTTGTTAGGTCAGGTACTTCTGGGACTACGCTCATAACCTCTATACTCATTGGAAATCCGACAATGTTGTACAAGATAGCTGCCATCAGAATTTTAAAGAAGAAGTCTTCATATACTCTTCTCTAACAGAAGACAAACATTGAATTAAAAAAGGATTACTAATAACAAAGCAGTATCCATACTCAAGAAGAAAACTTTCTTTCTTGTATCACCATGCAAACAATGTATTATCACTAGAAAGTTCCTAGCAATCATAAGACTTTTTTTATAAATAAATCTTAACAATCCATGTTAAAACAAATTCATTGTTACACAAGTCCTGATTAGCAGACATAAATAGGATTATTAAAAAAATAGTAATAAATAAAGAGTTAGCTAGAATCTTCACTTTAGTTGAATATAGTTAGTTGAAACTGGCTAAACAGACCAAAAACAATGAAAAAGTAAGGACTTAAATATGAACCATTTGTTAAGTCAGTCATTCTTAAATAAGAAGAAAATTAAACTAAGTTTTTGTTCATTTCTCAGATCATTAACATCAAAACTTTAAAAAATAATTAATAATTTTTTAAATTTAGATATCATTAAAATAATAATTTAAATACTTACAAAATCATTTTTACAGTTCTTAAACTTATCAGAAGATGGAAACACACTTTCCAATGAAAATGGAAAACAAGGATTAAAGAAAAAATATTCTGTTGGACCTGTCTGATTATCAGTACTTGCATCTTTTATATTTATAAAACTATACCTATGTAAATAAAAAAAAATCATTAAATCTCATTCCAAATAAAAATATATGTTTTTAAAGTATGATTTTTAACAAAAACAAAAAAAAAAATTAAACTTTATCATAAAAATTTTCAAAATAAAAAAATATCTTATTAGTTATATTTGTATTCAAATCAAAATGAAAATCATATTGTAAATTAGAATTTTTTCCATACAGAAGTTTAAATATTAATCTAAATTTAATACTTCAAAATTTTGGCTTTTTATTTTTAGGATTTCAGCATTACTGCTTACCAGAAATTGAAAAATGCAGGTTTTGCAAATTGCAAAACCTGCATTTTTATATTTGTAAATTTGCAGAAACTTTACAAAATCTTTTGCTGAAAAATTTTCATTTTAGAAAAAAAAACACACACAAAACAAAGTTAATTCTAGAAAACATTTTCCATCCTGGTCTATAGTGAGTAATTGCTTATCTCAAAAATGAATGCTAGAATTTTTAGCTTCATGAAACAACTGTGTCTTGTAGACTTTAAGAGCTTACTTTCATTATTATAAGTTTGAACAGATGAACAAGCTCACAATGACACAGGAAGGTAATGAGGGAGGGAACACGTGGTTGGGTCATATAGCACCCATAAAAATTTGAGGATTCTATCTAGTCTAACCCATATCAATTGCAAAACACAGGCTGGCATTATTTCAGCCACCTGGCCATCAAAAAATATTATGGAAGATTTAATTTATAGTAGCTATCTTTCATTCATTTGTTCTGTTTGTTATGAGTCATTTTTTCTAAAGACAACACACTAGTCAAGTTAGTTTCATTCTGAAAGCTTAAAATAAAGAAAATGAATTGCACTAGAAAACAGTTACTTTTGTACTTACACAAAAACATACAAAAGTATATAATACTCAAAATAGCAAAAGTAGAAAATTCTGAGTGCTAAAAATATGTAAAATGAATATTCCAATCTCAAAAACAAAACAAACATTCATTTATTCTTTACTGGACAAATGTACTGGTGAGTAATTAATTAAAGTACCCTAATTCAACATTGCCTCAAAAGAAATGAATGCATTTTCGATTGCTAAATCTGGTATGGTGATATTTCAGAACATGCAGAAAGACTCTTCCATAAGAAATGTCTTCTGCATTTTTGTTGGATATTTTTATGAATTTGTTATATATAGTGCCTATGCTTTTGTATCTGTTCAGTTGTGATGTAGTAAGTATAGATAATTAACTTTTTTATTGTGTCCATTAATCCATTAGCATGTTTTTCTGGTCTAAGAGATCAGTGGCTGGATTTCCATTGAAGCATGTTGGCTGAGCTGGTTTCTGTTATCAGTTGTGTGAGTGTAGGCATAATTGTAATGTAGTGCTGGACCAAGTATTGCTATTGCATTTGCCACTGTAAGCCAAAAAAGTGTGTGGCAAATATTTTGAACTTTTGCCTAAACCATGAATACAGTCCTTGTTTACTCAGACATCTAAGCCATTATCATACTGAAGTATGTTAGAACTATTTTTATATTTGCTACAGAAGTGGGCATGCTTATATACTTAAGGCCAGGTGTATATAAGTCAGCTGTCCCTAACTGGAAATAGCTGCTGAACAGCAGCTGTCTATCCTGGATAACATGCACATTAATAGCATATCTGATCTAGGTTGTGTTTATATCTTTGCTTCATTTCTTTCCATAAACCTTGCTGGCATAGGTGTCCTTACCTGTGCTCCACTGGCATTATTGTATGATTACTGTATGGATCATTGAAAACCTTTACTAAGCTCTCTCACCTCACAAGGTAGTGACTAGCAACGAACAATATGACGACATTAACTTTAACTGCAGTTTACATAACTTATGCATTATTTATTAGAATATTAAATTAGTACAAAAATCTAAAGATATAGCAGGAAAAAGAACTTTATACTAAAAAGGTTTTGTATAAATAGAAACTCACAGTAAAGTTCTATTTTTCTCCCCTCCATGATATTAAATTTTTTTTTAAACAAGATATTAAAAAAGCAACTTTTAGAAAATGAAATTAGCAAGATATTAAAAAAAAGTAATGCTTTGTTATAGTGGCATGTCTGATTTCTGAAGTGCCATTTGGAGCTCTGAAAAACTTTTCTTAGTTAACTTAAAGGATTCTTTTATCCAACTTTAAATTAAAAAAGTATTCATTACAGAATGAAATTAATAATATCTATAAATTTTGCATTAATACAGTATTAGATAATCAACTATCAACAGGTAGCTCTAATCTTTAAAGCAAATTCGAAATTGAAAAAAGTTATTAGATAAGATTTATTGATTTTTATGAGCATCTTAACATGCTTTTTAGATTTTTTACATTAAAATAAATTAATAAAACTTGGTTAAATTAATAAAACAAAAAACATTTTATATCATATATAATACAAAGATAATTTTATAAGTACTGCACACATAACCAATGTTAACAAGAAAGTATAAATTTTATACATTTAATAATGAATACACTTCAATGTCTTCATATATTTTTAAAAGTTGAATTTAGTAAACTTTTAATGCATTTTTAATTAATATGTTATTACAATAATGGAATGTATTGTCTAATGTAGAAAGATATAGACTTAGTATCAACTTTATTATAAATTAATTACGAAAAATATTTTAAAAGTTCCTCGTATACAAAATTTAATACAAATGAACTTACCTCGGTGTACCATTGTTGTTAGCTGTGGATGTTAGATCAATCACACTATTATTTTTCAGAACACATTCGCAGTTGTTAATAACCTTTTCGCAATTTTCTCCATAAGCAACTTTACTTATAAAAAATATAATACACAAAGACGCCGAGATAGAAATTGTTAGTTTATACATTTCAATAAAACGTCTCGCACTACTAAATTTACCTTATTCTAAACGCAAAACATCGAAAATTTCGCACGTGACTCTTTCTCTCTCTCTTATCTCGTTATTCGATGCACAGTTTATAAACTATAACCTCAGTTACAGCTAATTTTATTCATTAATATTATTTTCGAACGAATTAAAATAATTATATATTCGCTTGTTCGTCTACACTTCTGGAGTTTTATAGAGGAATTAACAGGTAACGTAAGTGCTTCGTTCGACCATGTGATTTTGACTCACCTGTAGCTTACGTAGCGTTACCCTAAATTCCCAAAATTTTTGACAATTCTATAATTCATAAATGCATATTTTCTACAAAAAAAAAATCTTGGATATTTTGTATTTTTTCCCGTGGTATCTGCTTTTCGCATCTCGTCGTTTATGTAAATACAATACAAGTTTGTATCGTCACGTGATAATTCTCATTGACGTGTTCTAATACCTGACTTATTTTTTGTTTTCTTCCTTTATTTCAAATGTAATGTTTTGGTTTGCCCAAACTCGTAAGGATCGCTTAGTAATGCTTCTTTTTTTTTTACTGCTACGTAATCTTTACTATTTAATTTAATACAGATGTTTCCTAGTGCTTCGCTTTGTACGCAGTGTTACAGATTTGGAGTGAGCGTAATTGGCTTTCGTACAAGATTCCAAGTCGACAGATTTTCTTTATAAATGTATATTATACGTAAATTCTATGTAATAATTTTTTTTTGAGAATATTTTATTAATTCTATTACTTTCGATATAAAACAAGACCGTTATACAGTTATATAACGGTTTACTTGTTGTGAAGTATTAATATATGACATATAAAGTATCGTTTTGAACAGAGTTGCCACTCGTGATATATGAAAAAAACTTGAAAAAATATAATGTTTAGGTGCTTAATTTTTAAAAGTATAACGTAGTTGATGTTAATAAACTTTTTTTTTTAATTCTTCCCTATTATCCGACGTTAGTCTACCGTATATGTAAAGTCATATTTTAAAAAAAAAAACACCCATATTTTACGAAAATTAGGGGGAAAAAAACAACCTAGAAACCAAGAGAAGATCGAAAAACCCAGATATGGGTTTTAAAACCTGGTTTTGAATTTTAAAAAAAAGTATGAACAAATAACAATGGCTACATTTTTAATTTTTAAATAAATAATTTAAAATTCTATTTCAGTCATTTGAAGTAGCATTTCATTTTGTAAGTCAGAGAATAAGCCAAGGAAATTATTTCTGCATTCATCCGCCATACCGAAATTCGTAAAACGTCATTTCCGTCCCGATGATGACAGTGCTCTGAAAAGCGCACGTTAATTGAAGCGCGCCGACAATAAGATTTAACGATCGAACGTGTGTTAAAAGCGTTGCAACCATGCTGAATAAAAAACACAAACCGCGGCTTTCCAAATCAGAGATTTTTTTTATTGAGAAATTTAAACGTTGAATTACTTACCAACAAGAAAAAATATATATGAGGAAAATTAACGTTTTTAGTATAGAAATAAGACGCTTTTATTGATTACTATCAAAATATATATAGGAAGTGATTGTGATTTCTAATTGTAAATAAAGTTTTATAATTAAACATCCTTTATTTAAAATTAGAATTCATTTATTCTGAGTTAATAGATGTTCATTTCTTTTTAAAAAAGATATACAATAAGTGAAAACTTTTTAATTAAGACAAGAGATGAGATCATGAAATTTAAAATTTAATTTTCTCGGAAAAGAACTTTCACAAAAGTGAATTTCAAATAATTTTACTTTTTATAAAATGCTTTGAATTCGTGGCCGTCTGCAGAGGTGGCAAATGGAGCACTTGCCCTCTCTGGAATCGAATAAAAAATTCCACAAATTACAATGGTAAAAGTGATTGAGATTTGTAACCTTACACCAAACATTAACACCTGTGCTTAAACCCTCGGACCTTAGGATGCTTTCTCTGTCTTTTCGTATTGATGCAATACTTTATTCTATAACCTATTGTGAAAAAACAATTAAATAAACATTTATTGGTGTAATTATTTGTCTCCAAGCTTTGATATACTGGAAAATTTTCTGTAGATGTCCATGTTTGCATTATGTTAAAGTTTATTATACCTATTTCCATTGTTGTAAAATTATGAATCATATTCATATTTATATCATTTAATAAATGCTAATCAACTCTAATGTTTTCAATAATAAATTATCCTTATATTTCCTTTTTTCCTATTTATATTATGTAATTATTACTTTTTATATATTTACCTCTATTCTTATTTATATTAACTTTAAATAAATAAATTTTATTTTATTTTATTTTCTAATATAAGTATTATATTCATTTATATATTTTCTTCTGAAATTAAATGAACAGTTCATTATGGAAGTGGTGCAAGTATCCATTTTTCCTTATATTGAGACATTTAAGGGTTTGTATTTCAACTGATTCAAAAATATAGATAAAGTCTACTATCTTTGTTCATGTTTCTGTAAGTTTAAATATATGTAAATTCATTTTACAAATAATTTTTATGAAAATTAACTGAACTTAATATTGTCTTTTTGGGACATAAATGGATTTGCACCATTTTCATAATTATTAAACTGCTCAAATAATTATATTTAAATTATTAAAATTCAATTTTACTTGAATTAAGCTATGTGTGTACATGTATAAATAACTTAAGAATAAGAAACATGCTATTGTTTAATCTCAATATTTATTTACTATATGTAACAATAAGTTAAATAACAATTTATTGTTATGTTATGCTTATAAGTTTAACATTAGATTGATTTTTATTTCAGATTATTATGCATAAATGTTTTAAAACATTCACAATACATAGGAAGTATGTAAGGCAGTAATTGCATCATATCCTTATACAGGGTGGGAAAGAAAGTCACTTAACACCCCTGCTACAGAATATAAAATGTACCCAAAGTTAATTTGCTCATGCCGCGAATACATTCCACCAAGGGAGAAACATTGATGTGTGTGTTACATGCATGGTCACCATCTTGATGTAAATGGGAAGGGGGTTGTGTGACACATCATTTAGAATCAGAACTTCACAAGGAATTGATTGCTGAACGATTCATCGATCTATCTAGAATGGTTACAGAGTTATTAATGTTTCCTTTGTAGCTACAGGTTGAAAGGACAGACAACATAATGCCCCCAATATGAGAATAATGCATCTAAATCGTCCTGATGGCAGGGAAGAGAAGTTTCAGGGTGATTGCACAGGATTTTAATATCATCCACATCTAGACCCTGTGTCACATGTTGCAGTTGCTAACCTACCCCAGAAATTCAGGAAGACAGGATTGGTCCATGATAAGAAATGTTTGGGCCTGTGAGGAAGAACAGGGCTCAATATATAAAGAACAAGACAGCCATGAAAAACTACCTGGGATTTTTTGACCCATCCATATTCAATTCTTGGATCCCCAGAGTAGTAGGCTGGCACCTTAACTGCTTGGCTATTTGTATTATTGTTATACACCAGAGTAATGCACCAGATGATTCTTCCATGCATAGCATGTGTGTATGTAACATATGGGGAACTGTCAGGGGAACATTAATTTACAGTTTAAGTCGCTGTAACATGTAATCACATCAAGATATACCATATTGATTAGTTTATGTCTTTTCAGAATAAAATGGTTAAACACTGTAGTTTTCTAACATTTTCACACATTCATTAATTACTTAATAATAACTGTACAATATATCTAGATGATTACATATTAGTGATATTACAACATTTCCTCTGACAATACTCCATAAAATAAATACTGTACATATGCACATATGTACAGTATTTATTTTATGGAGTATATGTGGAAGCATCATCTGACATGTTAGTTTTGAACAATTCTAAGGGTATTGGTGTGGTGTTTCCAAATCTTGGCAATCACCTGCATCTGGTTTGTGATAAATCTAGAGTTTTAAATTCTGCCTCCTCCATTTATGTTTTATTGAAAATTAGATATTTTTAAAAATAAAGTCATAGATTTTTTATTACATTGCAAGTCTATCTGCCGTCTGGTTTATGAAAAGCTAAGGATTGTGATGTTATTGAATTAGAAAGAGTAATTAATTATCATCTTGATATAAAATTAACAAAATAAGTTTATCAGCATATGAAATTTTTGTATTGATATATAAATATATATACAATTGCTTATATTCTAGCTTGTTATTCAAACAAATAAGAGAAAACCAGCAAAGCCATGACTAGTAAAAACAACTGTAGAATTTGTCAATTTCATGTTTCAAGATGACAAGTGCAGCTCGTGAGTGAGGTTTTTGGTATCTTATTGGAGCTGTAGACCAGGTGTGGTCAACTGCGACATGCATTAATATTTTGTAATACTGGGTAAGCTAAGGATTTATTTGTGCTGTAATTACAATTAATTTAATTGTAATTACAGCACAAATAAATCCTTAGCTTACCCAATATTTAATTAGACTATGGGAAACAGACTTGCAGGACTTTCATAATAAATAATTACATAATTTCATTTACCAATAGATTTTTGATTGATCAAAGCATATGGAGAGTTTAAAATATAAACTGTAAAATTGTCTATTAATAAAAAGTTCACATAAATTATATCTAAATAATTGTTTTCTCAATTTTTACTAAAAATGGACTTTCATCACTTTCTTAATAAACAGTCCAGTTAATTTTATATTTTTTTTTCCTGAATTCTAATTTTTTTTATTGAATATCCCAATTGTTATTTTTAAAAACTTATAAATTTACAAGTGATCTTCATTAAATATCTTTCTATTAACATTAATAAAAACTCTTTCATTTCTTGATTTTTTTGTCATGTAGTTTGATCTACTTTGAAACTCTTAGTTTGTTCCTCCATTAAAAGAAAACTCTTAGTTTGTTATTAAATTAATTAAAGATGCAAAATTTATTCTCCATTCATAAAAAAAAATTATGCATTAGTTTTAATCAAAAGTGTCTTCCAATATGACAAACCTACATATTGGAATCTGACATTATCAAATTATATTCTGCATACACAATACACACTAATTACATTACATGTCTGTTAGCAATCTCATCTAGAGTTCATATCAAGGATTTTTCTACAAATTTTTTAAAATAGTTGCTTTATATAAATTTTGATAAATAAGAAAATATAGGCTATAAAGTTAAGTCACAGGGATAGATATTGGCATATAAAATATAAAATGATGTAAAATAAGATGTAACCATGGTCAGAAATGAATAAAAAAAAAGCAAATATATTTTTAACCTACATAATTGAAAACTATATATAGAATTTTTAAAATAATAAAATTGAAAACAATTTTCCTTACAAAGAAGATATTGAAAATGTATTCTATAATATATTTGCTTACAAAAAAACTTCTTTCTTTTTCAAAATAAAGATTTTTTAGTCACTGAAATGAAACAATTTGAATGCAGATTATTATAAATTTAATAAATTAGTATTGGTATATCTATTTATAGAAAATATAATACAAACTTTTTTCTCTAAGATATTTCTTCCTCTATAGGGGAAGCTGTAAATAAGTGCATTTTGTAGCTTTCGGTTCAATAAATGCAAACATTTATCATATTTTCCTTATTTAACGGAAAGTGGTGACACTAATTTTTTCCACTTCAATAAATATAAAAATTACCTTATAATCATCTATACCGTAATTCCTTAAAATATAAACCATCTTTATTTAGTTTTATTTATTTATTTTTAATTGTTAGATATTATATCATAATTATAATTTAAATTTCTGAATTCATAAGATCAATTTGGATAATGAATTAAAATATCCACTCTTTTTGATAACATATTCAGCATAAAAGAAATTACTTGAAATGAAATAAATTGCTGAATGAACTCATAATTTATAAGATTAAAACTGATTTATTTGAATTATGATGTTAGAAAAAGAACTAAAAAACTATTGGTTTATTCTGACTAAAAAAAAAATCAATAAATTAATTCATCTTTCCTGTTAGAAGAAATATGATTTTGAATACTGTATATTAATGTTAGCAATAATATAAATGGAATAGTTATAATTGGCTAAATATTAGAATGTCAAACACAAGAGAGATTAAGAATGGATTGATGACATAGGCCAAAAGTCAATATTACATACAAGAATTAAGAATTTCTGTCATTAATAGGATATCATTGAGATTTTTTCATATTTTATATCATGATTCAATAATCAATAATTAGTGTTTCCTATTGACTTATTAAGAAAACATTGGTATTTGCATTATTTATGTTGTTATTTTTTTACAATATTTCAAAATGAAATAATGATTAACTTAATTTGATACTGTATTTTCCTGAAGAACAGTTCTAAATTCTAGTGGTATCAAATTAAAAAATGATAAAAGTTAAATAATTTTGGAAGTGTAATGTTAATTAAATTTTTTTTATTAAAAAACTATTTATAAAGATTTAATATCTAAAACTGAAAACCCTTAGAATAATTGAATAGCCCTTTGAAATAATTAGAATANAACCCATAAATTTATTAATAAAGTTTTATTTCTTTATATTTGAATTTAAATGGATGAGAAGCAAAGTGGATATCTTCTAAACTGGTGTTCTTCGGCCTTGGGTCTGCGGACTGGTGCCATCCCTGGAAATTTCCTGCTGGTTCGCCAAACATTTTGTAGACTGGCAGAAAATTTTGTAATAACAAAATAATATTTTAAACTTGTAATTAATATAAACAGTTTTTATTTATTTTTTATTACTGCAATTGTTTAAATAAAATTACAACAGTCATGCACATCACTTAAGACTTCCTTGGACTGAACTTTCTAAACTTAGATTTAAACTGCTTAGACACAAAGCATCTAAGCAGTTTAAGTCTTAGAAAATTTATCTTTAGCCTTCTGCCAGTCCACAAAATATTATTCCTATTTTTGCCAATCCTCAGGTGTGAAAAGGTTGAAGAACACTGTTATATATAGTGTACTTGACAAGTTATAAATTATCATTTATAAAAGCATGAGGATATTTCAAGCTTATTAATAAACTTTCAAATATGAAATTACTGTATTTACTCGCATATAAGATGATCTCACATATAGGACAAGATTTGACTTTAAAGATCAAAATAAAGAAAATTAGATTTATTAATACAACTCTAATTTTATTTTGTTTAATCACAAACAAAATATTAAATGCACGTAAATGCACACATTGTCCCACAAAAATTACTGGCATTTTAAACTTTAAGGAAAAATCTTGTAAAATTGACAACATAATTTCTGCATGTAAAGCTGGACAATTGGGAATCTTTTTTGCCAATTCTTAACAGTCTAATCCACTCTCTGTTGATTACACTTATGAGTTTCTCTGAATATCTGTTTTCACATGGGAATGGATTAAAGCTTATATTGGGCTCCTGTGTGATTTTGGAATTTCGTTTGTTTGTTTTGTTAAGTTATGGCAATGCAACACGGGTATTCTGCCTCAGGGGAAGCCTTCCAGGAGGTCTTTTTAAGGGTAACTTTCTCCTATTTAGGCATTACAGACATAGAGAAAACCAGTAAAACTCCATGTGGCCAGCCCTTCCTGGTGAGGCATGAACCCACGACCGGACTCCCAGTGTTCAGGGAACAGAACTGCTTGGCCACTGGTAAGCCAATTTTGGAATTTCAATTTTGAATTCAATTCAAAAGCTTTGTTTTTCTATTGCTTTAATGTTTACTCCTGACAATACACAAGAACAATTCAAATGACCCAGATAAAATAGTTTTGTTTTTAAACACCAGAGAGTGAGCATTCAGTAAAAAATATGAAGACAGGGTTGACAAATTATTGCAAAAACACAAAGAATCCTTTGCTCACGAGTATAGGACGACCTAGGTTTTTGAAGCAGTGAAAAATGAAGAAAAACCTCTTCTTATATGCGAGTAAATATGATATTTTCTGACATTTTGTATTCATGCTAATTTTTAAAAAATATTCTAATCTTATAAACAGCATATAAAATTTTCATATTTTTTCCTGTATTATTTAAACATTATCTGTGTTTTTAATTATTAAAGCATTTACATTGTATACAATATCCACCTCTAAAGATAATGTTAATAAGCTCAAAGCATTTTTTTTTCCTGATATTAAATGTGCAAGATTGTGTTAAATATTTCATGTTATTTTAGTTTATGAAAATGTTTTTTATTTTATTAAAAAAAATACACAAAGTAGCATTTATATAATAATTCTTAAATAAAGACATTTCATAAAAATTTTATTAAACATTAAAGATATTCCCAACTTTGAAATAGTAAAATTATACACACAAAAAAAGTGTTTTAAATTAATCATCTACAACAGACAAATCATTGTTTTGTAAAACAGCTTATTAAATAATTAATAGAATAAGCAATATAAAAGTTAAATTACAAAAGACAGTTGCAATAAAATTAGAATATTCTTTCTTGCTAGTGTTATTACTAACAAAATCCCTTTGAAAAATTAAAATTTCTCCAAATAAATAGAAAAACTTGAAATTTATTTGTTCTTATATTTATGAAGACAATTTTCTATAATAGTAATATTAGAATTGACAAGATCATTACTTATCAAAATAATATCTGATATATTGACAATCTGTACCATGTAAAATACTTGTTTTTAATTTTTTAACATTTTTCTTTATAATTAGCAGCTGAGTATTCTTATTAAATACAAAAAAATGAATTAAACAAGCTCAGAAAAAAATTGTTACATTTGATAATGTTTATTCCATATATCAGCAAATAAAGTTTTGTATTAAAATCAATGCACATTTCATAATTAAAGTATTAAGTATAACTATTATACTCAACATTTTTAAGGGAAGCATTAATTAACCAATACATAATCGGAAGAAAAGTATACATTTTAATTGCAGAAATTTTCTTATAAGATCAACTTTCTCATCAATTCTGTACATCAATAATCAATGTAATATTGACTATTATATCAATGTGCAATGTAAAACAATAAAAAAAACAAATTGTTTGTTTACTAGTTTTAAATATATCTGAATTAAAAACAACTAACAAATATTCCTAATCATTGTCAAATATTAATAAATTTTACATCTATTCTTATTATAAATAATAGTTTAAAGTACAATATTATATTTTACAAACAATACTAAATATTGAATGAAATAATTACTATACACATAATATTCTAAAAATATGTTTGTTTTTAGAATGAGACATTGCCATGGTGATGACATTTGACTGCACTATTAAATAAAATCATAAATGTTTGTTTATTAAACAATACAGATTCTCAAAAAATAATAGTTATGTTATTGATTAAAAACAGATGAAATATTATTTACATTAATAATGAAATAATATTTTCATTATTTATTTTTTTCAACTGAAAAATAAATTTTATAAAAAAAAATTTTTTTAACAATAATCACATTTTTCATATTTTGTACAATGATGAATATTAGTAAGTTAATCATTTGTATTTATCAACAATTTTAGCTGAATAAGTGCTCAAAATATATTATGTGATTACAGATATATATTATCAATAAATAGTATTAAATTCTCTTATTCCTAACAATATATATACTATATTTAGTAACATTTTAAATTTTAAATATTTTCATACAAAATTAAAAAAAAAATTTTTTTAATAATTTCTTTGTTATATAAAATCAATATGCTATATAGATTATGTAAAACTTGACTAAAAAGTTTTAAACTTACTTTTGAAATTTTATAATAAAGAGAGAATCAATATATTTTACAACTAAAACATTGAAAATTACAATAAAAGTATCAATAAATAAGTTCATAAATTGTTTAAAATATTCATATTATATAAATGTCTGGTGCAAATACGTACATCTCATCTGCTAATGTAAAATTAACAAAATGTACAATCATATTTCATATTAGAAGTAATCTTTCAAATAATCAACCTTACATTTATACAATATGCACAAATTTATTACATTTTTATACTAGTTGGCAGATGTGACTTACCACATTTTATCAAAAGCCTATCTTAACAGAGTATATATTATCTTCATTTAATTTCAATATATTTTTTTATGGAAAAATTAACTAATAAATTTTTAAAAAATAGTCATTAAAAAAACACTTTGTTTTTTCAATATTATGCCCAACTTTGAGCAATTGGCAAAAGAGCATCAATCTGTAATATGACGCCATCAATAAATGGACGTTGCAGAGCATCCACCTCTAATAAACATCTGATTAATCCATGTAATCCACTTGAATAACTGAAAATATATAATTATATTAAAAATTATGTTTAAATATTGGAAATTTCTTTTAAAATCATTTTTTTGTAATCTTAATAAATTCAATTTTTAGTTTAATATTTATACACATATATATTTATTTATAGTTTTTAGTGATACATAAAATTAATTAATTAAAATAAACATCCAAAAAAATATTTGTTTCTGAATGTAAAATTAAAAGTATATATAGGTCATCATTGCTAGCACTATAGCAGTCATTCAACATGAAGAAGGAACCCAAACTTAGCATCAGTGTCATGCAAATAAGCTAACATTTTGTACATTTCTCTCTGTGAAGATAGTCAAGTGTTCACTTCATGACTCTTTCCATTTCTTCCTTAGTGTTACACCTCAGCATATCTTCTCATCAGCCATTTACTTCTTTCATCTTCAATATTATATTCTTTAACAGAGACCAAGACCTTCAAGTGACTCACTAACCAACATGTCTTTTTCATTATCAAAATGATCTTAAGAGAGACTTGAAATCCAGGGCAGAATCCTGAAGTTCAGGCCAGGATCCTGAACTTCAGGATCCTGGCCTGAACTTCAGGATTGTAGGCTCTTAAATACAGTCAACACAAATTAGTACTTTGTTCCAAAATTTATGCTAAGTGAGAAAATCATAATTCAACAGGCTGTTGTTCAGCTGCCTTGCATCACTTCTTGTCTCATTGGTCTTTTTCACTGTCTATAATATCTTGGAGAACTTCACAGACTTCCCTACGTCTGTCCTTGCACTCCACCTGGTTTTGGACTCACCCAGACAATAATATTTTTAAGCTTTCTTCTGTGCTATGTTAAATAAAAGAAAAGCACAGAGTTCCTCAATGGTTCCAGAAAACATGATCATCATTGTATCCAGTTTGGCTGTATGTACTGTACAGTACACTCAAGTTGAATGAGTGATTATTGAAATTCACAAACACTGCCAAGTTGTTTTTCTCACTTATTCTTTGACGAACATAATTAACTTTTTTATCTAACCATCACAGAGGCATTGTCATAGCATTGTGACTGACAATTTTATAGCTCTATTATATCATTCTCTATCTGTTTCAAGATACCTTCAAATCAAGCACATAGCATTCTTCTGGCTTATATGGATAAAACCAAGGAAAAAGTCTAAAAATCAATTTCCACATACTTAACTACTACTGACATCTGCTTAAGGTGTGACAGACCAAAGCCAAACATGAGACCACACCGTTACAAATGCTTCTTAGTAAACTCTAGTAAACAGTGTATGCCATCATTTGGAGGAATTTGTTCTAGACATCTGATGATAGATAAGATGTCAATCCAGAATAACTTTCCATAGGTTAAATGTTTTTTACAATAACGTTAAAGATTTCCAGTAGTTTCAGTAAGCCAAGAAAATTTATCACACTGAAATTAATGTCTAGCCTGGCTTTGTGAAATACAAGGAAGTGAGTCCTTGTATTTCACAAAGCCAGGCTGTGTTGTGAGGAATTTTATGTTATAAAGGATTCTCATCAAGATATGCCACTTCTCTATCTGTGACAACAATAAGTCTTGGGGTGAAGTATAGTGTTAAATAAAAAATTTTTTTCTCTTAATTTAATCTGTTGGCCCTTTTGTTTTTTATGCCAATCTACAGACTTGAAATTTTTTAAGCCTCCAGAAGTCAGAGAAGAAAGGAGAATTATTTTTCCATGTACTTGTTAATAGTACAATTGGGTAAAAACAATAACTCTGTTTTCAGATAAATTTCTTTCTATTTCTTTCCACTATATGAAATCACTCCCAATGATTATTAGTGTTTTCATGATTATTAATCCTATCAAGTGCTTTCCACACTTTTCTGCTCTAATTGGATTTAAGGTCTGATAAGAAATAGAGAAGAATACATATACAATATGCATACTTTAGAAGGGAAATATACCAATCATAAGCAAGTAACTTTCTCACCATTACCATTTCCCAATTCCCTCTTAAACCAAGTTTCCTACCAACAAATAACTGCTCCAAGTAACAACTTGAAGCAGTTATTTGTTGGTAGGAAAGCCCTCTTACTGTTCTGGAAATACTTCAAATGAAATTCTCTAAACAAACCAAGCAGGACTGCTTTTCTATTATCCTTTGAAATATTAGTTGGGAGGGTTTCTTACAGAGGGTGCTGATTAAAGCCACTTTACTAGGTAACATACCCATTGTATCATGTTGCCATCTGTTGGAAAATATGAAAAAATTTACCTTTACTTCAATTGATATATTAATTATATTCAGAGAAAATACATCAGAGACCTAATAAATTTAATGCACTTTTCAGCATCATAATAGTTTCAAAAGAAGAATATTTCTTATGTAAATAAGAATAAAATATATAAATAGTTTTTTGAATAATTAAAATAATTTATTACTTTTATTTACATATATAAACATTAAATACAAAATAATATAAACAGTAAACATATTGTTAGGTTGTTGATCTCATTAAAAGGCATGAGGACAACCAATATCCTTCATAAACAGGCACTAACAGAGTATAACAGGCCTTCTAGATTATTTTAGCACATTAAATTATAGTTTCCAGACAGAATTATTTAATACAGTGGTACCTTGCACTTTGAATGACTAACTTCAAATGCTTGAGTTCAAATGTTAAATTTGACAAAAATTTGCTTGAGTTTGAACAATGCTTCAAAGTTCAAACTGGACATGGAATAAAAATTGCACTGAAAGCATAAAACAAGCTTCTGAACAAAGAATATAATCTCAAATTATCAATAATGTATTAAAATTCATAAATATCATAATTAAATTGCACACACATCTACATTAAGTAATGACAACTGTTAAAAATATACAAAAACTTTCTGTTCAGCCTTTACTTATTAATTAATCACAGCATTCGAGAAATATGTGGAAGAAAGAAGTCTAACTAGTAAGAGGAAGGCTCAAAAAGGGCTACCATGAAAAAGGAACTTATTGCAAAGCATGAAAGCAGCACATGTGTGGCAAATCTGGTAGCCATGATTAATGCCAAAGTAGATGGTGTGCAATCAGTAAATGCAATTTTCATTTTATTATATATTATTTATGTATTTCATTTATTGTTTGTGTTTTAATTTATTATTAGGGCATTCAATTATATTTTTACCTTAAATTATGTGTGTTTGCATTTTAAGTTTATCAAAACAGGTATTGTTTAGGGTCTGGAAATGGATTAACTCACTTTCCATTATTTCTAATGGGAAAAACTGCTTCAGACTTTGAATGATTCAGAGTTCAAACAGTTGTCTGGAATGAATTAAATTTGAAATATAAGGCACCACTATATAAAATTTATAAATATATATATACACCCTTATCAAACTTCGGAAGTCCAAAGTCACACTGTTTAATCATTTCTGGTATGACAATTTGAGGCTCTTTTACCATCTAGATCACTAGGTCCAACATTATCAGGTTCAATCTTATCAACATGCTCATCTACCACCTTCTATTCCTGTAATGTCATGTCATGTCTGCTGCACTCTATGATGTGGCAGCCTCACTCTTAATCTTGTCATCTCAGATTTATCTGACTTCCTCCTTGGATTGTGATGCATTTTTACTTGTTTCATCCTCGGATTCTATCAAAGTTGTGGCTGGCACAGACAACCCCATAGAACATGTTGAACTTACTCAATTTTGTCCACTTTCTCACACTTATCTGAACAAATACAATCTATTTTTACTTTTCTGCCTTTATATATATATAATAGTCTAACTTCAAATTAAAATAAATAATAAATTTTTGTTATATATTACTATTAAAATAATTTTTTTAGATTTTAAAATAATATAATAAATTTGGCAAGTATTTGAGTAAATGTTAACTTGTTTTCAAAATATTCATATATATTTTTAAAATATGTTACTATATATATATATATATATTAACATATTTTGAAAACAAGTTAACATTTACTCAAATACTTGCCAAATTTATTATATTATTTTAAAATCTAAAAAAAATTATTTCAATAATAATATATAACAAAAATTTATTATTTATTTTAATTTGAAGTTAAGTTAGACTATTTACAAAATAGTCTAACTTCAAATTAAAATATTGAAGAATATCCTGAGTTAACATTTTATATGTGAATTTATTATTTATTGTAATTTAGTATAAATTTCTAAGCCATGTTCAGATTGTGTGATTCTCTTGAACAGTCTGAATGAGCTTTGGAAATTTATATTAAAATATGATAAATGCCCAGTATCCTTGTCAATATTCTTATTCTAGAAGAAAATATCATCTCTTTTCATCATTAAGATCATCATCTTTTTTCTTCAATGTAAATAATTTTTTTGGATTTAAAAGATGTAGACTATGAATTGTTAAAATGTTTCTTCACAGATGTATTAAAAAGAATAAAATCTTTTTTCACTATCCAAACACTGCTTTTATGACTAATAGGAACTGCTCAGTGGCACTCAAGGCACATGTCCTACCTGTCATACCTTAGATACCACTCATTATGACTATCTGTTTGCAGTGCAAACAAAGTGCTAGTAAAGTTACTTCCTATATGAAAAATTCTATCAAATGAAATTTTTCTATCAACTGAAATTGAGTTAAACATTTAAAATAGCTTCATTTTACAATACTCAGTTTCTTCTATGTTAATCTGATATTTAAATAGAAAAAATTCCAATTTTATTAAATTTTTAAAAGTATACACTTACGGACTGTTTTCTGGTAATTCAATATTTCCATTTAATACAGCTAATGCTATACTATCTCCTCTTTCATATGCTGGTTCAAATGGTGAATGAAAATAACACATTGCATAAAGACAACAACCTAAAGACTGTAAAAGAAAAATAATATTAAATGTTATTAAATTTTTTAAGAAGTCTTATTAAATTTCAATTCAAAACTTAATTAGAAATTTAAAAAAATAAATACCAATAAATGAACTATTTTATTTTATAATTATATGAATTCAATTACAGGTTGAATGTCACTAATCTACAAGCTTGGGCTAGAAAGATGCCAGAGCAGTGGATTTTCCAAACCACTGAAGCTTAAAGTAAAAAATAGCAATATAGTAATATCTGTATACTGAGTAATAGAATAAGCTACCTTAAGTTGTGGCAGACAAACAATACAGGCTACTGGTAGTGTCACAATTTCAATGTTGCCAGATTGCAGATAATTAGTTGATTTAAGGATAATGTGAGGTGATATTGGATTTTTTAGAAAATCTGCTAAATTTTTCAGTATAAGTATTTAAAAATCACAAAAAAATTAAATTGGCTACTTTTCGTTTGAACAAAACATAAAAATACAAAAAGACAGGCTGTAATCTATGATCAGTGTTTCTCAAACTTTTTGTTCATGTGATCCAATATCTTTTGTTTGCAATGGTTCCATTACCCAAAATGTTATTCAAAATAGAAAAGGGAAATCAATTTCATACACAGATATTCTATAAACTTAATTTTGTCACTGGATAATAATAATTATAAGAAAAAAACAGATAAACAGATTAATAGATGCATCTACCTTGTATTGTTCCTAATTCTTACAGAACATTTCAATAATACAAGTATTACAAGTATTTATGTGAAAGGTAGTATCATTTTGCAACCCCACTATTGGGTTGTGACCCATAGCTTGAGAAATACTGATCTATGACAACCTTTGGCAGATGATGTTTTCTTTTTTACTTCTCCTTTGTTATGTATAACAAAGGTAAAGTATGGCAATCACATTGAAAAATATATATATACACCCTTATCAAACTTCGGAAGTCCAAAGTCACACTGTTTAATCATTTCTGGTATGACAATTTGAGGCTCTTTTACCATCTAGATCACTAGGTCCAACATTATCAGGTTCAATCTTATCAACATGCTCATCTACCACCTTCTNGGGTTGTGACCCATAGCTTGAGAAATACTGATCTATGACAACCTTTGGCAGATGATGTTTTCTTTTTTACTTCTCCTTTGTTATGTATAACAAAGGTAAAGTATGGCAATCAGTTAAAAAAATGACCCCCCCATATTTTCATATTTTTAGACTCAGGAGACCTTGAAACATTGAGAAATGCAAAAACATATTTTTGGCATTTTTTTTCTGATTTATGGATGTTTGTGTGCATGTGAGGGCATAATTTTGTTCACCTACTTCAAAGCTTAATAACTTCTGTGTCATTTGTCAAAAATGTTTAAAATATTTCAGATAAATTTATGTATTAGGGGGATTGATTTTATTCAATTTGGTGGTTAAAGGTCAGGGTGCTGAGAGAGTGAGGGGGTTTCATGTCATATTTGAAGTGGATTGGACTTAATGAAGATTTTACTCATTATTAGTACTTACAATTTGTTTTTTTATAAAACTCATCTCTACCCTCAAAATTAAGCTTTTTGCTATTTTATTATATTTAATAATATAAAAAGTTTCTTAAATAAAATATAATAACAGCTGGTACCATCATAATTTTAAATACTTTTGCCAGGAAAGTTACAAAACTTGTTGCTGGACTTTTATCATTTTAATATCAGAATCAAGCTCTTACATTACATAGCTACAGATAATTTTGGATATGACAGCATCCTGCAACTGGATAATTTCAGTTTTTCATAATGGCAACATTGCACAGCTGGCCTAGAAGCAATTAACAAATTAATGACTGCTAAATTCAAATCACCGTCCTGAAGCTATATCCCAAACCATCAGAATTTCCAGACTAGTGAATCTTACATTAGTGAGATTCAACCTGTATAAGGTTTATGCTCAGCAAAAATTTAGGTGATTTAGTGAATAGATTCAACCTGTATAATCAATAATTTAATTTTAATACTGTAATTACAGCAATTCCATATTTAATCTACTATATAAAGCTGAAAAACTGGGTTCTGTCACGTTATGCCAAAAACAGCCACTAGGGACGCCCCTAGCTATTATTTAAATTAACAATAAATTCAGTATACTGTATTATTATTTGATGTGTTTTTTTGCATTTTTGGCTGCATTTTAGTAGGGTATGCCATGAAAAATTCAGTATATTATTATTTTTATTTGTAATAGGAATTTATTATTTATACCATGGAATGACACCGCTGCTGCTAGAATGCCCACTAGGGGCATCTCAGGCAACTAGAATAGAATTATAAGTACGAGATAAACTAATAATCTTAATCTTTGTTGTTTTTTGCCTGGGCAATGCCGGGCTCATCTGCTGGTTTTGATATTATTGTTATTAACAATTATTTCAATCATTTAGGCTTGCAAGAGTTTTTTGCAAGTACTGTTGAAAGAATTATATCGTCAGTGAAAATATGTAAAGGCATATCTCAAAATTTGGCCAAAATGAGTTAGATAGCCTTTAAATATAAGCCTGGGTCTTTCATGTTATGTCATGTTATTTCATGATAGTGACATATCTTTATGTAACACCATTTGCATTCTACAGAATGATAAACACTGGACATTTCTCAAATATCTGATGAAAATATTATAACTTATGGACATTTTTTGAGAGACGCCATAAACACTACATTTTAAAATGATTTTAAAGACATATTTAGACTCACGCCTGTTTGTTGCAAAGTTACCCGGAGATTATGTGGAATTCCCTTTCTACATACCCCAATTCAGTAAAATGAGATTCAACCAGAGGAAAATGTTTCAAGGTCAAACACTAAGCCGAGTCATGTTTTTCCACTCACATGACCATCATTGCATTTAATATATTTTGTCTTATTGAAAAATTAATACTCATATTAACTTAATTTACAAGTATTGTAAATCCTTATAATAACAACGGTATTTATTGCCATATCTCAAAGTCACACCAAACAGGAGATACCAGAGCTGGCAGCATTATCTTCTCCAAATGATTTAAATGAACAATATCCATTTTCCAATATTGAACTCAGTGACCATGATGATGCTATGTATGTCCAGGCATGCAAAGTTCCTCACTGCAAAAAAGAGGTTTTTAGTTTGTGTTTTTGGTGCTCAATTCTTTTGTGCTGGAAACATTTTATGGAGGATTTGCTTATGTGTGCACTCATCAGATCAGCAATGATTATAATGATAACCCGGCAACAAACTTGTACGAAAATTGACAGTGTAAGAAGAAACCCAAAAATGAAAAGAAGAAAAAGCCAGAAGAATTTGAAGTAGAAGGTGTTCCATGGGAATATGACCAAGAGAAAATTACAAGGGTAAACAAAAGAAAAAAACTTGCTCAGGCATTACAATGCACTGGTACAGAATATATTTCAGTAAATACAAAAAAAACTGTGAAGGGCCAAGTATTAGGTCTAATGTGTAATATTGAGTGGTGCAAAAAATGCAGAAGGCAGTGTGGTAAGTTTAGTGAAGAATGTAGGTATGCCATATTCAAAGCATTCTACCAATTATGTGACTTATAGCTTTAAAGGAAATTTATTGTGCAGCATTTTAAGCAGATGTTGAAGAAAGCATGTACAATAGGTAATGCAGAATCACATCATCAAAATATGAACTTCTTTTTTGTTCCACTGGAAGGAAATGCATCCAAAGTGCGTCATAAATTATTCATGAACATATTAAGTATCAGTGAGAAAACAATCGAACAGTATTTGAAAAATTTGAAACTACCAATATGATTCAAAAAGATCAGGCTAATCAAAAGTTGATTAAAGATCACATTAATCGATTCCAAAGGGTGGAGTCACATTACTGCCATAAAGACAACACTCAGGAATATCTTCACAACAACTTGACTTTGAATAAAATGTATACTATGTTTTTAGAAGAGGTGGATCCCAACATAGGAAAACAGTGTTTCACATCATACCACAGTTTTTAAATCCATGAATTTTTCATTTCACACGACTAAAAAGGGCCAGTGTGGTTTATGCCAAGCATATCTCCAGGTATCTGAAGAAACAAAGTTACAAATGCATACAAATGCAAGACATTTTCAGAAGCATATTGCTTCCAAAAATGCTGTGTGAGAGATCAAAAAAACTTGCAAGCTTACCACTAAAAAATGATCCCAGCTTGCTTTGTTTATGTTTTGATCTTCAACAAGTCATGTATTTGCCTGTATCAAACAACAGTGCAGTATTTTACAAAAGAAGGCTTGCTGTTTATAATTTAACTTTCTATGACATAGCCTCTGGGACTGTTATTGCTTTACCTGGATGAGTGTGAAAGTGGTCGAGGTGCTTCTGAAGTATCAACAGCACTTGTTTAGAACGTTGCTGAAATATGATGAAAGGAAGGTTCATATTGCCAATGGTTGTGGTGGACAAAATCAGAAGTCCATTAAGGCAGGAGCTCTTCATTTCTTTACCACTAATCACGAACAAGGTGGAGACTCTACTTACAGTACGATTTCATACACGATTAAAAAGGCTGGTGAATTGTTTGTGCCTTCTCAGCTTACACTAGTCTTTTGTCTTGCAAGAAAAGCAAAGCTTTAATAGTGCATTCTTTAGGTTATAATGATTTTTTTAGACTTTAAAAAATTTAGGGAGAACCTTAGTGTGTGTTCTATCCGAATCAACGATGAGGGAATAGCTTTTAAATAGACAGACATTGTTGAATTCAATGTAAGGGAGAATGAATTAAATAAAATAATTTTCAAAACAAGCTACATTGATCACAACCACCAATCATTGACTTTAAAATGGCAAAATGCACTACTGTTGACAAAACAACTTAATAACTTAAATAAGAGATCTTGTCTATTGTCACTGGAAAAGTACACTCTTTGCTCTGGACCAATACCAGCGATAAATTTGCTTGAACATGTCCAGTTTTCTAAATCTTTGCCTCATTTGGTAGAGTAAAAGAAAAAAAAAG